GCCGCCAGCGCCGCCAGCGCCGCCACTTCCACGGCACTGCCACCATCGCTTCCACCTGACAGGATCATCGCCTTGTCATGGCGGACATGTTGGACAACATCCTGCAGGCCTGCATCTCTGCATCCGCATTGAGAAAAAGCCCCCCTCACTGGTACCTTCTGATTCGGCCTCGTTTGGCACCAGAGCACCGAAGACATAACTGAGTCTTGCTGAATCGAGCAGGATTAAATCAGCCGGGGCGCTGTCATTGGCAAAGATGAAATTCTAGCAGCTAAGCCATTCCGATGTTAGGATAGTCTTGACATCCCACACAATGATGGGAGTTGCAATTGGATAAATCGCTGACTCACCTGGGGAAATACATGGCTCTCCCTGTTTCTGTGTGGAGAGGTGTGGCAGCCCTCCGTTCCGCAACCCGTCTGGATTTGCACGGAGTATTGTTGTGCGCAGAGCAAGAAGGTATTTGGATGTATTTGGGTTTTGGGGCTGTGGTGTAGGACCGGGCCTATACAGCGTCTAGAATGCTCGCTGCCAAACTCCCGATAACTCTATTGGTCTATTGGCGTCATTATAATCATGTTGAGAACCTCTGCGTGCGAGAAAGAAGGATGTCCTTGATTCAGTTAGGCTTTTGCAGGACACCGTGCCCTTCTGTTCAAAGGGTAGCTCCTGTCTCCGTCTGCATTCAGTGAGGCTTTCTCCACGCCCTCTCAAGCTGGGAGTCTTCAGTTAGGCCGCCCAACCAAGAAGTCAACTAAGGTCGCTACAGAAGGGCAACAGCGAAACCTGTGAGAAGGAGCGAAGGGTTGGGCTATGGACCTAGGGCCTAGGGCAAATCGTTTCTCGATTTGTCAGTTGAGCCCAGCTCGGAAGCGGTGGCGAGCATGCCAAGCTCCAATTTCACACAGGGTGCATCAGATTTGCCTTGGGCACTTGAGCCCTGAGGGTAGCCAAAGCCGCTTGTCCGGGTACTTGTACAGAGGCTGTTTCGCTTCTCAGGGCCCTTTGGTCGCCGATGCCGTTGGATGAAGCTGCAGATTTGCATGCGCACAGAAGTCCAACAAGGGGGATTTGCATCACCTTGGCTGGTTTGGGCAGTAGTACTAGGGCTACGTGGTAAGATTGGTGAGGACCGTGGGTGAGCAGTAGGCACACATGTGCACACTTTCCACATGTTCCTGGTTGGAAACTTGCAAATGAAAAGCATGGGATTTCGATGGTTTCACTCCTACGATTTGCACGCGCAATTCCATAAGCGCTACAGGCACCATGCTTGCCAGGATGCCCTATGTATCGATTTATGTTGGGCATGCAGATGCATAGCAGCATAATTTCTCTCATCCTCAGACACGTCATGTCTCGGCAGAGTGACACTGAAGCTCTGTGCTCAAGTAAGCGTTGACCAAATTGGGACGCTGCGCAAGGTCATGTCTTGAGACACAAAATTTTGAGCAGTCTGGCTGTCTTTGTTTCAACCTGAACTGACTCCTCCACACGAAAGTCAACAGACATACTCTTGACCATGTCCGTCCATCAAATGCTCTCTCCGAATTGGCCCGTGCTTAAAATCACTTTGTGGTCTCGGTGCGGACACGCGACAATGTTTGATAGACCGCTAGAGGCAAGACTTCGC